GTCAAAAAAAAAAAACTAATCTTCAATGGTGAACCTGCCTCCTGTTAACTTTGTTACTTCCTTTCTGTTTTTTTTTTTTTCCTTACCCCCCTTTCTCTCTCTGTCCCTTTCTCTCTCTCTCTCTCTCTGTGTGTGTCTGTATGGAGGTCCATACACATCCAAGCACCGGGGAAAGACGTGATAGATAGCGAGAGATAGAGGGAGAGGCACTGCTCAGTTTGTTGGCAACGACAAGCTGACAGCGTGACGCACGATAACATTTGCCCGCATCCCTTTTCCCGCTCAGCCAGTTCATTGCGTGCATCTCTATGTGAGAAGCGATGTTCTCGTGTGGTACGTATATATTTCTATCTACCAACGCTGAGACTGTTTCTATCATGACTCCGACACACAAACGTTTTTACTTGTACACCTGCACTGATGAGGTTGCCATGCGCTGCAGGAGAGATGGCCACGGTGGCTGTGCTCCGTAGAGTGACATCACACACAGAAACAAACACTGTAGCAACGGCAGCCGCAGCAATGTGTAACAAATACAAAATAAAACAAATAACAGTTTACTTTTCGTGGGTTCACCCTTTTGCGGTTATTCATCATCTATGATGCATCAATGCATGCATGAACATTCATACGTGTAATGAGATATATATGCGACGTAGAGAAGGAGAGAGAGGCCGAGAAAAAGGGGAAGAAGAAGATAAATATGTATGTGGCGAAAGCATCCTTGTGGCCTCTGCAGATGCACCGCCCCCTCGTCGAATATCATTTGGCCCGCCGTGTTACTCCTTCACAGCTCCCATAAACTCCGTCACGCAGAAACAGCTCATTCTACAGCTACACGACAAGTAGGGAAAGGCTAAAAGGGCGTGGAAGAAATCTCTACTGAGTAAAAAAGCTGCGATTAAATCGCTCGCCAAAGCGGTACCCTGTCACAACAGAATTGGCTGCAGGGTCCGTCAATGGGATAAACGTCCGCGCCGTCAAGACGACCCGCTCGGTCCTCAGCAATGTCACATGAATGGGTTGATTCTCCTTGTAGATATGCGTGCCCAACTCTACAACCTTTTTGTGGCTCCTGGGAAGGTGCACCGTGCCGCTCCGGCCAATCCCTGCCATGTGTATCGCCGTGGTAGAGGCGTCTGGCTGCACGGGTTCGGTACCATCCATTGTGTAGCAAATAATGCCACCCACGGGCGGTTCCTCAAAGAAGACCTCCATTTCTTTGCATTGAACGCATATAAACGGTGGGGGGATACCGCTGCCCGTGTCTCCTGTGGCCTCCTCTCGTGACCCTCGATTCCATGAAGTGGCTCGCGTGCAGTCGTAGACGGTGGCCGAGCTACGTGCTCTCTGGTGACCGTGTTGGTCCGTGTGGGGGTTAAGGAGCTCATCCGTGTACATGTCTTCCTTGAATGTCCAGGCGTACACAAAGGCCACATCGTCCCTTAACGGTATCGGTGCCCCCGTGTACACAACCCCCTTATTACGTGAAAACTTAACCTTCTGCCTGGCCTCGCCAATGTACACAAGTTGATAAATAATTTGGGTGTTTGGCAAGCGTCTGGACTCGTCGAAGTACAGCTCTGCCTTCACCGCGCGGATTCGCACCACGGGAGCCGGTATATTTGGATCTAAGAAGGAATGGCCCGCCCTGTAGACGGTGAGGCAAGCCTCTGTTGTACCGCTCGTTAATGAGCCATCGTGTGCCGACACTGTGATTGCGCGCACCACCACCGACGTCCGCAAGCCCCCATCCTCCGCATCGAAGGGCGGAACAGAAAGGGTGAAAGGGCCCGTGTAGAGCAGCGATGGGTGTGAGCCATCCACACTATAGCGAATCTGATCCAGCGTGGTGCTGCCCTCGTTGAGGGCAATGGTGACAGGCGTGAAGGTCGTCACCTCCCCCCTCTCAGGGATAATGCGGGGTGGCAGCGGTCGTGCGTGGCCACCCCGCGGGGCAAACGATGGGCTCCCAGGCCCGCTACGCTCTATGTTGACGCTGATCTGTTGCGAGTCCTGCAGCTCCACACGTGGGGCAGCTCGCTCCTCACTCACGACCCCGAAGCTGAACTGGTGCACGGAACCCACAACCTGCAGTGAGGGATAGACGGCGTAGGCGTAGACCGTGTAGCTGCCAGGGTCTATAAATTCCAGCGGCTCGGTGTACAACATGAAGTGATCACCGTAGCACTCATCCGTGCCAAGGAGCCGCACAATGTTGTCAGCGCCGCCGCCGATGCCACTGTTTACCGCGGCACCAGGACCCGGCACGAATTTCACATCCAAAAGAATATCACACGGATGTTGCTGTAGGCACTGCAACTGTACCACCAACGGGGACTGGTGCACGCCAGGAGAAGGCACGCACGACAACTCAAGGATGTGATGGCGCGTGAAGCCGGGGTACATAAGATAATTCATAATCCCCTTGCGACGGCGGAGCTGGTACCAGTAGTAAATCAACACTGCCAGAATCAGCACCAGCAAGAGTGCGCAGATCGCAAGGATCGGCACCACCACAGTGGGCCCTATAGTAACCATGATTTTCTTTCTCTCCCTCAGCTTTTCGTTTGAACGGTTTCCTCTGTCTCCCCACTTTTTACTTGTGTCTATAAACACCGTGTTGCTGGAGTGGAAGCGTCCAGTTTGCACTGTGTGTGGGTGGAGGGGAGGGGGGGGGGGGGTATGTTTCTATGGAGCTGCGGACGTGTGGCTTTGCGTGGACACCGGTCCCCTTCCTGTTGCTGAAAGAAAATGGAAGAAACCTTCCGTGGCTGCCACCCACCCAACACGCACCCACGGACCCGCACAGAGAGAGACTAAAAGAAGGAAAGAAAGAAAGAGTGACGGAGAAACTGAGAGGGATGTGTCAACGCTGATGTGTCCCATACGTCTCACGGACCGCTCAGTTGGGTGACGCCTCCCTCAGTCCCATGTTGCTGTGGAGAGGGTGACAGTATCTGCAGGCATCGTGGCGGACGCGTCAGCTCGACACCGAAGCACCTGCGGAATAAAAGCAGCTGCAAATACAAAAGACACAACTACAACAACAAAAAGGTCAAAGAGGGAAAGAGCATAAATTTCTTTTCTTTTCCCGGTACTTCTCTCTCAGTGTGTGCGTATATATGCATGCAGCGCACCCACACAGACGCACCACCGCACGCATGTAAACCAATACACACACACAAAAAGAGACACAGACAGAAGCGTGTATACATTGATATGAATACATAAGCATATACATATATATATATATACATATAACTTCTTCTCGATGGCTCAGCGTGGTGGCGGGGTATCACTGACTAGCAACAATCGTCGCTTCCGCATAGCTAGCAGTCGCTCCTGCACCACCACCTTTTCAATGGCGTCTCTAACGCGTTGCGGAATGCTTAGCGTTGCTGCTACGTGTGACACACGGGTGCGTTCCGCCTCACTGTACTCTCCGTCATCTGCACAGGCGCACACGGCGTCGTACAGCAGCACACGGGCCAAGGCTGGGGGAACAATTGAGCCTGAAAGGAACGCCGTCATATTTTCTGACAGTTGGGATGAGCCGCCTCCGCTGCCGCACCGCGCGCCCGCACCCCCCGCGTTCGTCCCAGCGTGAGCCGCACCTGTTCGCAGCTGCACCGTCTCCACAAACTGCGTAAGCTCTAACTTGATCCGCAAATCCTCCTCCCCATTGAAGGGGACAAGGTGCTCAATGAGGCCAAGCACGTACTGCCGGTTCGGCTCCGGCCGCTCCCTCCCCGAGACGCAGAACAGGAGCGTCTTCACATACGCGTAGGGCAGGTTGCACACCCCAATGTGGGGGCTGTACTTGGACCCGTACAACGTGTCTACAAGGAAGATGCAGCCCACGACGGGCGCGTAGAGGCCGCAAAGTCTCCGCGTCAGACGCTGCATTGCAAAAAGAAAAAAAAAGACAAAATACACAAAAAAGGGGTAGAAAACAAAAAAACTGGAAGAGCCTAAACGTTCGGATTCGTCTGGTTCCTACACTCACAATGCAGCCTTGGCACTGAGATGGGCTCTGCCTGCGCCGAAGAAAAAGGGCGGTGGGGTGAAACCCAGCCACACGCTCCACACGCCACCTACGCCCACGCTTCCTCCTCCCCTCCCCACACCTCACGCACTGCACGCGTGCAGGCACCACACAGTAGAAAAGATGGAAGAAAGAAGGGAGAGAAAAACGCACTGTGACCGGGACGCACACAACACAAAAACGGCTCGTTTACCCCGCCACGCCTCCTCCCCGCCCGCAGGCCGCAAGAAACGGAATGGCAGGGGTTTTGCAATTAATGTGAACGACGGGGCGGACTTAGATTGCAATGTCGTCACCGCGAGTACAGCAGGAAAAAAAAAGAGAGAAAGAAAGAAAAAGAAAAAACAACAATAATAATCAAAAAAAGAAGAAAAAAGGGGGGAGATATTATTGCAGGTCCAATAAAAAGCGCAAAAAACACAAAAGCACGTACTATCAGCCCCGTCTTTATTTCGTCCTTCTTCTTTGAACACTCCACGCAACCAAAACAAAACAAAAAAAAACGGGAGGCGTTACAAAAATCAAGGCCACGACACATCACATGAACGCATGTGTGTATGCGTGGCGCCCCCACACTGATTTCTCGCCTTTCCTTCGCGTTGTCACTCCCAGCGAAGGAGCCGGGACACCAGAAGATTCTCCAAGAGGGAAGGAAGGAAGGGACAGTACGGGCAGATAGAAATTTTCAAAAAAAAAAAAATGACGGGGCTGTGCGAAGATGCAAGACAGATGACAAATCACCCGCCTCCAGCACTGAGATCCGCTCGTGACGCCCCACCGCCCGCTGGCACCACCCGCAGCTCCAAAAGATAAAAAAAAAAAAAACGTGTGCGCCAATAAGTTTTCTCGTGTGCACACTCAAAAGTGGCTGCTGCTGTCATTGCCCCTCAATTCTGCTCCTTTTTTTCTTCTTTTTTTGGTTCCCTCACTTTTTTTGTTCGTTTGTTTGTTTGATTTCCTTCACTTTTTTATTCTTCGGTCGCAACTGTTTGTCCTCTCGCTTCATGTCATTTTGACTCCCCCGGTGAGTCTGTGCGTTCCCGTCTGTCTTTTTACACCAACCGCCTAGTCTTTTTTTTCCCCCCTTCCTTCTTTCCCACCTCTCCCTCCCTTTTATCCACACGTATAGCAGAAGCAGGAGGTGGGGACCCCGGCCCCTTCATCTCGCACCGCAAATAGATATCCACTGAGATAGATCCATAGTTTTCTGCATTTCTTCCAGGTCAGCAAGTGATGAGTGTAATCTGACAAAGTAATGCGCATTGCAAGCCCGCGCCGCAGCCCTGTCTCTTGGTTTTTTGTTGATTCATTTTGTTTTGCCTTCTTTTAGTGTTTCCCACGTCGCAATTTAGGTGCTAAATTTACATGTACGTGTGCATGCACGCCTTTTCTAATTTATTCCCTCCACACGTATTCACGTCGACGTCCCTCACCCCCGTCTTGTCCATATTTTTTTTTTGTCCTCGCCGTCAGTTGTAAGTTTTTTGCCGTGTTCTTTTTTTATTATTATTATTATTCTTATTTTTCCCTTTTGCTGAGGATTGTCACATTCCTCCATGTGGCCCCCGTCCTCCCCGCTGCGTGTCGGGTGGTTCGTGCAGCAGCAAGGCGACAACAGGAAGAGAGACAGCTCACTCCCACCACATATGAGCAAGGTAACACCACCATCCCGCGGCACCTTCCCCCCACAAAAACACAGTAACTAAATCACTGGAGCACAAAGGCTCAGAAAACGGGAGAAGCAGGAAACTGGCGGTAATGCATGTAACCAACTAAGCGGGGTCTCCCTGTCCCTCCCCACACACGCACACACACACACAGAGTGGCAGTGAGAAGCATGACGGTAGCCAAAGAACAGAAACAGTCACTTCCCTCTGCGCACCTCTGTGCAATAAAAAATAATAATAATAATAATGACGCTGCGCGCACGTAACCCACTTCATCTGTACAAGTATGCATGTGTTTGCGTCTAGAAGTTTATGGGCGATGTGTTTCTGCTTCGGGGGGTGCATCCTTCACCGCACCGTCAAACTCGTCAGATGCACGATGTGCATCCTGCGTAGAAGAGGACCGACGTTTTGTCAAGGGCTGTTGATAGGCGTCGTTTACCGCACTGTCAAAGTCATCAGGCGCATGCAATGCACCCTGTGCTACAGGGGGGTGTAGTGGTGTCAAAGGCTCTTGATAGGAGCCATTGATCGGTGAGTTCCTCGACTCTACTTCGACGTGGTCGAGGGCGTACAGATTCCCCGCCGGGGGCGTCCCATTCAGCGGTTGCATCTCCAGATCCAACACATGTGTGACGCCGTCTTGCACATTCACGTCCACGTCTTCTTTATCTGTCTTCAGCCGCGAGGCCCTCGTCGGGGGTGAGGTGCCGTGCACGGCGCTCGGATGTACGTGGTTGGCGGTCAGCACCAGCACGCCCGCCAGGTTCGGGTACTCGCGCAGCACCCGCTCCCCAACAGCGGTGAAGGTTCCACCGGCCTGCTGCAGCAGCACGGCGTTGGCCTTGATGAAGCTGTCCAGGAACTCGCCCTCACAGAGCTCCACCTGCACCATATGGGCACCGTAAAAATTCTTAAATTTCTTCACCTGTGCCTCCGCTACACTGCGGGCCTTGTCGCGGTCATTCACTTGTTTCGTGTACCGCTTGCTCTCCGTGAGGGCCTTGCCCTTTTTGACGTACTTCTGCTCCTTCCGCGCGAGAGTGGTGTCCTTGTCATGCAGCTTCTTCAGGAGGAGAAGCGCCTTTTGCCCCTCACTCAAGGTATGCTTCGCCGATTGCCGCAGTGGGTCTATATGACCAAAAATGTGCTTGTGCAGGGTGTCCTTGTATACGACAAGCAAGTTGCCGTCCTGTATGTCGCGTGTCGCCGTCGTCAGCACCTTTGCCACCTGGTGCAGGGTGTCCAGGGGCATGCATGACTCACGGCAAATGGCACTTTGCTGTCTATCCTCCAAGTGCACCGCCATCGCCCCCGTTGCTTCCTGAAGGCATCTTCCAGTGCTGTCAAGGCACCTCAGCACCTTCGTTATGTTCTCCACATACTTCTTTAGATTGCCCTCAAGCTCGTTGAGGGCCTTCTGCGACAGCTCAACTTGCTTGAGGCGCTTCTTCACCTCAGCAACGTCCTGGGGAGCGACCTGGGGCTCTTTCATCTGGCCGTGTGTTGATGCTGTCTAGGATTTCCGTGAGGCCTAGTAAGTGATCCGCACACCACAGAAATCACCCTCTGCCCCACTGCTAATAAATACTTATGTGTAGCCGCCGCTGGTATTGGTGTTTTGACTCGTTTTCCCTCCTCCGCTGTGTTCTGACCGCAGGTGGGAAGGGCCGTGCGTCAATGAGGGAAGAAGAAAATGGGTGAATGAAACCAAGCAAAAACAAAAAACGGTGTCACTGCCACACAGCGCACCCACGTCTGCATCTGCATCGTATGCACAGACACACACGCACACACGCAGTTGTATTTACAGTCACTCTAAGTATACACATATATGCATGCGCACATGTGTACTGAACTATGATATATATGCGGGTACCCCTCCCCTCAAACTCCTCTCTGCTCGTCAAACCCCAGAAATTAGCCAAAAAAAAAAAAAACTCACCTTACCATCAGTATGGCCAGAGGCGCCAGCCCAGCACAAGATGGCAAACAGCATACTTCCCCTAACCCACCAGGGTTTTATGTGGTCCCGGCGCTTCGCATCACCTGCGCCACTCCTGACCAATACTGCGAGGAGAGATCGCCCATGGCATTCAGCGCCTGTTTTATGACGTCAACGCGACGTTCCTGCAGTTCGTGGCAGACACGTGCCAACTCATCTTCCCTCTTCGTCAGCTCCAGCCGAAGGGCATCACGTTTATTGATGTATTTCACGTAGTCGGGGTTTTCGGAGGAGTTGCGATTTTTCTTGACATCCGATGCAGCAATCTTCTCAGCCTTGGTGCGGGCCTCGTTGTACTTTTTGCCCACCTTCTCGTGTTCCTCGTGCTTGACCCGCGCCAGCTTCATCAGCGACTTCAGGCCGTCTCCAATACAGTCCGTCCTCTTCATGAAATCGTTGACGTACTGCGCCATGACGTACTTATTTCCGCCCGTCCGGTCGCTGAAGCTGTTCTCGCCTTTACTCTCTGTCGCGGCGGTGTTGCGGTGGTTACCTACTTCCTTACTGAAGGAGTCCAACAAACTGCGGAGGGAAGGCGGTATATCGCCAAATGACATTTGACGGAAGGAAACCACCATGTCTTCGAGAGCACTGTCAACCTTTCGCACCGCCACAATGTAGTTTTTGCTTGCCTCGTTGAAGGCCTTCATCCCCTCCTCTATTCTCTCCACGAGTACTGCCTGCGGGTCGGCGTTTGCGGAGTGCAACCCCATTGGATGGAATGTCTGTGTATTGTGTGTGGTAAGTGAGTGTGTGTAGATGCCGATAGTGTGTTCCTTGTAGCTGTCCCTGCGCTCCTGGCTCCACTTGGGTGCCGCCAACAGACAACAAGAAAAAAAAGAAACTCCCCTCTCCACCCAACACAAACGCAACAAAGAGAGAGAGAACAAAGAGAGAGAGAAAAAGAGAACAAAGAGAGAGAGAAAAAGAGAACAAAGAGAGAGAGCAAAAACACACGCACGCCTCAGCCGGCGCCTTCGCACTCCACGCTCCGCCCACACAAAATTGGAAAGAAACGACACAATAGCCTGCCGGAAAGAAATCAATCAAAGATATCAGCCAACCAGCCAACACCCTCTCACGCCCGCAGCAGGGCCCCCCATCG